ACAAGCTTTGAAATTACTTTCCTCTACGTGGTTACTGACTCGTGGGAACTGTGCCTGAATTTAGTGGCTGGGCATTCTGTTGCCAAGACATGCTTGCCTGGCAGTGGGGGAGCAAACCATTGAAGCAAATCATTTCCTGTATTTCTAGACAACTTGAGCTGGGGGACTGTCTCTGTGTCCAGATTTCCTTTAACCCAGGAATAACAAAGTCAGGGAATTGAAGATATATATGGCGAATTGGTACAGATTTAACAAGTGGAAATAAGGCATTGTGCCATTAATTAAGTTATAGGTGGGTCAGCAAAATATTTAATACATTGTTGAATTTCTCCTGTGAAAGTATTTTGGTACCTTTCAATGGAACTGGATCATGTGCGTTTAAATGCCTCACTATGGAATCTGAAAATTGTAGCTTTGACCTTCAGCTCAGACTTGAGTCTAGGGGACTCTCTGACCTCATTTTGAAAGCTGATAACGTGTACTCTTTACCACAGTACACGTCAGTCTGTAGATAAATGATTGTATTTGTTGGAAACCGAGCAAATCTTCCTCATTTTTGTAGAAAACACATAAAATCCTGAAATACGGACTTTTCTTCAGTTTTACAGGAATGACTCATGCCTTCAAGTTTTTGGTTTGTTTTTTTGAAAGAAGTTTCCCAGACCCAGTTGCAAACAGTACGCCCCCGTACTTCTAGGGTGTACCAAACAAGACTTGATGTCATTTTCTTAGCATTGAATACATTCTTTTTTTAAATTGAACCTCACAAAGCCTTTATACAGCAGTATAAGAATGCCTTCTGCTTTAGCCTGGTGAGACTTTGACGAAGAGAAGACCTGATGTTCATTGAATTAATAGCGGTATGCAAATATACGAGTGTGTCAAAGCGCATGTGGTTTGGTGGCTGGGGCTGTGGACTTAACTGGAAGGTTGCGGGTTCAAATCCAGGGTTGGAGGCTGCAGTTGTACCCTTGAGTGAAACACCTACAGTAGATTACTGATCCAATAAGTACCCCAGCAGAATAAACATGTATGAATTAAGTTGCATTAGATGAAAGTGACGGCCAAATAAGTTAGTCAGAACAATAATGCACTTCATAACTTTTCTTCTGCGAGTCAGAACTCATGCAAGGTGATGCAACCATCCTGAGAAGTAGCCCAGCCCCGGGCTGATGGAAGTGTAATTAGATTGCTACACATCCAGCTGCTGTGTTGAGCCTGTCTTGACATTAGCCTGCGCTCATGGTCCCACCTGCTCTCTGCCTCGAGTCTGTCATCGCTTCCTCTGTCGCTGTTCGCACAGTGTGTGGGCTTTCACAGCCGCGCGGGTAGGCCGGCGTGCGGTTTCTCGCGCTGTCTCGGCGCATGTGAGCGCCACTTCCTGTGTGAAGAACGTGCCTGTGAGGGATGTGATGACCCGTACATCCACCTCAGCCCGACACTGTGAAGCTACTGTGCTAAAGCTGTGGTTAGGGGTTTGTCACATGCACACCTCTGTGTCTTTTTCTGTTGTTGTTTATCATCAGCCCTGTTAGTGAGATCATTTCCTAGATGTGCGAGACAGGGCGGTGGGTTGCTGTTATTGGGGCCCTTGTGCTGTGTAGATTCCTTACCGATGCGATTCAGCCCAGGTGTCTCGGCCACTGGGTGAATGGAGGAGTACTGGAGGTCAGCAGTGCGGATCCTGTTGCTCTGTTTGCTTTGAAGCAGATTTCTCTCTCTCCTGCCTGCAGTGGTCTGGTCCGACTCGGATATCTGTCCAGCACACAGGGGAATTCCAGCCCCAGATCCCGTCGTCTTTGCCACTACACACCGGCCACCCAAGTGGGAGGACAGGATCTGGGCATCTCTCGCCTCTCGCCACCTTCTGGTCTCACTGGACTCCTGCTTCCTGTCCTGAATTTGTTGTGATGTGGGAGTGAAGCGGGTGAACACACAGGCGGTTTCATTTCACTGCTTATTTTGGCCCGGCAGTGACAATCTCGGGGCCAGAGACCAGGAGAAGGTGGAGCCCTGCCGTTTTATTTTGAGGCCTGGTCATTTAAGTTGTGCTGTTTGTTGTGTGGTTGTGAGTGACCATGCTCATCAAAACGCAGTGAGCGGTGAAGGATAAAGAGGAGTAAAAACCTGTCCAGGAGCCTCCGGAGAAGCAGGAAGTCTCAGGAAAGCAGTATGTTCAGGATGTTGAGAAGCATGAGACAAGTCAGCACAGAGCACACAAACAGGCCGTCCTGCAGCGAGATCCCTTCAGTTCTTTGTCTTCGGAATGATTTTAGCAACCTGGTGGTTTCTAAGAGAAGACTCTCAGATGTAGGACAGGTATACGCTAGGAACTAACTCGCACAGCAAAACGTCATGATAATTCAGTTTGGCCATACCTTTATTTTGAAAATGAAGTCATATAATTGTTTTTAGTAAAGTGTGGTCTTGTGGCTTCAATTTGGGGAAAAAAAAAGGTGATTAGAAATACAAGATATTGAAAACTAGAAACCTAGAAGACATCTGACTTTATTACATTACCCTATTAGTAAGTTGTCATTTAAGAATCAAAGACATAAAAAAGGACAGAGACGACTATGATTTGCAAAATCAATGCTGACATTAATTTCTTATTATTTATTAGAAGAGTGCTGTTGAAGTAAATACAGCCAGCAGCCTCTCTTTATCTGACTTCTTAAATCTGCATGCCGGTTATTAGGAAAAAGAACAGTCAAAACTGCTGAAATTGCTGGATGATTTACAACGAAATGATTTCATCATATTTCCTGTAAGGCACAGCCCTTATAGCTGTTCAACTGAGTGAGGGAGCACATGCAACTGATCGAGCCGATAGAAATTAAAAGAGTGCAGTTAACTCAAGTATAATGAATTTAGCCACACCTGCTACTGTTCGTTTTAAAGGGACCCAGTTTCTCACACCGGTATTAAATCTTGGAGACTAAATAAATTGATGATATCGTAAAATTGTACAAATTCTGCTTACTTTGCGAATGTACTGGATAGTCACCATGTTCCCACGAATTGCGACGTGATGCGGCCCTTCCTGCTCACTAGTCACTGTAATCACTAGTGTACTGCGTTGTTCAAGCGAATAAGTACAGGTTGTGCAGCAGTTATTTCACCACAGAAATGTCCCAATGTCATCTGCATGCAGAGTTAACAAGTAGTTTTTGTCTACAAAACCCTCTCGAAGTCAAGAGCAATATTTCTGTTGGATTAGGAGAGATGTCTTCACAAGCCTGCTTGTTTACAGTGTAATAGGGCCTCATCACCGGAAGGTTGTGTTGCTTCGTTCTGAAACGCAGAATATGGCACTGCGCACACCTGGAAAGGTCGCAGATTGGAGGTTTTGCGCATTACTGTGCTGTGTACATTTTACTTTCATTGAAACGCACTCATCAATGCCTTTCTAACTCCGAAATACAAAAATAGCGCTGCAGTTGTCCTTTAATCTCTAAATTGTATGTGCACCCTGTGTCTGGAGTCTGGGGACAGAGTCTGTGCAGCTGTGAACCCTGCCAGGATTAAGTGGTGGGCTTTTCACTGGTTTACTTGCTGATAATAAATATACAGTACAAGGTACTGCAAAGGAGCTCCATGAATACATGCAAGATCAAAGATCTTGTTTAAAGCACTCGAATTGCAGTCCTAAGGAGAAATTCTGTGTCCACTTTAGTACATTGGAATGCAAATTTCTGAAAGCACTGTGGGGTCCCATGGATTGGATTTAAAATCACTTCGCTTTAACACTTCTGGACAAAATGAAGCCGGATTTAGCTCCCATTGTCCAGCTTTTGTAGTACATATTTTTCTGCCCGTTAATATGTGCTGTTCCGAAGCATAGAAATGTCCAGTTGGTGTTGCCTTAGATCCGTGTTGCTGTTTAATATGTGGCGCCAGCCTTCCCCCTGTAACTGCAAACAAACTGTAAATTCTGTAACTGCAAACAAACTGTAAATTCTGTAACTGCTGCGACTCCAGACTTCATAACGGTCTGCACACATTTCTGTGAGCCTTGCCTGGAGTTCAGAGGTGAGCAGTGGTCAGTTAGGTACTAATTACCACAGGATTTGTGTGCTGCGTGGAAAACGTCCTTTCAGTTATGTACTGAAGGTTTTCCAAGTAACAGCTTACAAGCGACTGTGGGCGGACAGACTAAAACGTCACTACTTGAAGATGGCGCTGCTGCTGTCCCAGTAGTCTGCATTAATTTAATGGGTTCCTCGACCCCTTGTAAATCTGTGCTCCATGAGGCGCCAGCAAGACATGTTATTTTTATTGTGCTCTTGTCAAATTGTCAGTCGTCTGTGTTATGTAAGGGGTATAGTGATGGGTATGGAACTGTTAATGTTTTCAGGTCTCACTGAATTTTTCACCAGCTGCAAGTTGACCGTCACTACTTGATGCAGCGTTGTTTGTTGTTGTAGAAGTAATGTTGTTCTGAAGAAGTTCAGTTCTTTTGGCTTTGTTGTAAACTTCCACCAGCAGTGAACACTGCTGCCCCCGTGTGGATTCCCAGGGCACTGTTTCACTGAGCGCCCTGCCATCCGTGTTTCTCAACCTGTTCACCTGAATTTAAAACCTCTACTACTCTACAACACAAATAATATATCTATAATCACACCTTAAGAATTCCTTGTGTGATTTCTACTTTTCAGCTTGGAATAAACCTTTACGGTACACAATCCTATATATAAACAATATTTAATTTATTTGTGTTTTTCTCATGTGATTTTATCCAAAACTCCATGGCACAGCAGTTATTGTCTGAATTTCCACGGGTTGAGAAAACTGCTCTACAGTAAAGCCGCTGACAGTGCACAGGGGTGTAAAAAATTGTCATGTTGGACTGTTGAACTGTAACATTATTTTGACTTTAGTTTCGTTTTCCAGGTTCAGGTCTTGATGTTCTTGAAATGTGCTCTGACTTGCGATTTTTGCTTTGTGATGGATTAACACTCTCACTTTTTTGGTTTTTTTTTTTGCTCACTTTTTTCCAGACACTCCAAGACTCCCCCTATCCTCACTGTCTGTGAGTTGCCGTAATCTTGAGACTGTACTGTACTGGAACTACAGCCACGCTGTGCGTAGAGCTCTTTTCAGTGTGGAGATCTGGTCATACAAGTAAGTGTATTAGTCATTCATGGGTGGCAGGGAGTAAACTTCTATCAGATACCTCTTACTTTGTTGAAACACAAACTCTGGAAAATCTGGCTTTTTTTGCCATTGGATGCCCACAGATGGGGCCAGGCTTCAGGGGCACGTGTGCTCTTCTGCCTCGCTCTGTCTCACCGGTGTTTCAGGCCCCAGACAGAACACCCTGAGGGTAGCATGACCCCAGCAGTGGCCAGTGCCACTGGGATTGCTACACAATATGCGTCCTGAGTTATCAGCCCTCCACGGGCACAAACTGTTTCACCCCGCGAGAGGGGGAGGCACAGATCCGTTGTGTAATGATCCTTCTCTCGGGATATTTTGGAAGAACTAACCTTCACCGACCCCTTTTTTATGTTGCATCTCATTATAGTTGTTTAAATTGTGTTTTCCAGCGATGGTGTACGGAGAGCAGTGGAGAAATGCACAAACGTGACTCGCCATCATTGCGACGTCTCCTCGTCCATCACGGACCTGAGCGACACCTATGCGCTCTGCGTGAAGGCGGCTGCAGGATCGGAAGAATCGAGCAATTGTTCCGAAACATTCACCTACAACACTCAAACGAACTTACAGAAACCATGCAAGTTGAACTTCATTCCGTTTTTTCATTGTTTCACGATGTGACAGAACATTGCGTTTTCGCTCTGGACGACTATCGCGATTCCCTCTCTTACATTCTCACCGGTTAGACTCATTGACGCTGAAGGCAATTTAAAAGCAAATTCCGCTTGCTGGTGATTTTGCACAGGGCTTCACAGCTCACCTACTCACGTCTGCTCTGGGCTGTTACTGACTTGCTGGTGTCACTCACAATACAGTGAAGGAAAAACAAATAAGTGGTAGCTCTGAAATACAAAACCCAAAGGTCCATATGTAGCAAGAAAACGCCTCGATTTATGGAGTTGTAATATTATAAATATATCTCTCTTTTTCAGGAAAAGCAGCAGTTTAGTTGGGTAAAAGCTGGATACAGCACAGAATGTTCAGTCCTTCTTTTGTTCTGATGATAAGGTGATAAAATCACAGGAATATAAGAAGGAATACAAATGAGAGGAGGCCAGTTGTTCTGTCTTGCTCAGTTTGGTGGTCATTGATCACAGATTGATGCAAGATTGATCAAAGATCTCATCTCGTAATTTCTTGAAAGAAGCCAGGATATTGGCTTCAACAAAAAGGCTTGGTAGCTTGTTCCACACTCCCACCACTCTTTTGGTAAAGAAAGAAGTGTCCATGCATGCAGTGTCCACATGTGTCCTCGGGTTAATGTTTCATTGTTCATTATGAAGAGATTAGTTTGGCTTTCTCAGTGCCTTTTAGGGTTTTGAATACTTGTATCAGGTCTCCCAGTAGTGTTTTCTGTTCAGGACAAAGGAACAGAACCTTCAGCCTGGCAGTATACAGTAGGTATCTGCCGAATGCAGTGTTTTCTCAATCTCTGAGCTAAGTTGTTTCCCAAAGCCAGTTCCAAAGTAACTTCAGATTGTCTGCTTTTCAGGTTTGTTGGACTTCCCAGCTGTGAACATTACAGCACAGGCAAAGGAAATAATTTTGAGGTTCCCTCATCCGAAGCAGGTTTTCAAAAGACTGAAACAAACCTTGAAACCGCCGAATTTGAAACAGTTTAACTATGAAGTCATTTACCAGGATGGAAACAACACGGAAGAGGTGAGGCACCAGGCTGTGCTGCAGGAGGTCACAGCTTGATGAAGACTGTTACACGGGTGCAAATTAAAGAGCCAAACCCCACAGCAGGGGCATTTTGTACTTTTATTTTTATTGAGCCCGATTTTCTTCACGCAGTAAAACAGATGAGCTAATGAGACGTACAGTAGTTTGGATCGCTCTGCGTTTCCAGTTTCCTAAGATGAGAAAACGATCAGCCCAGTAAATATTGCATGATTTGAGGACGTTATATGTGAAACAGGTGAATGGCTTGTGTTGAGCCCTGATTCCCACTCCTGAAACAGTTTAGTATTCTGTGTATGTTTTAGAAAAAGATCTGATGCCTAAAGGATTAAGTACATCCTAGATCTAGTGTGGTTGGGCACTCTGTATTGTTATTGAGGCTGGTAGTTAGAAATATTCTGGTTTTATAGCAAATACCATATTTTAAAAACCTACCAAAAATAAACATCAGCCGATTATAAATAAAAGTTACATACTATAAATGCAAAGCACAGAGGCAGTGACTGAACTGTAGATAATTATCACCCCATATAGATGGCCTGTATTCATAAAACTACACAAACAAAAAAAACACATTAGCTAGTCATCTTGCAGACAGCTTCAAACTCACTACAGTACTGATTATAATGCAGCAGCAAATTAACACTTACTGCATCCTTCAGATTTAATTTGCACTTTTTACTCTTCTTATTTTACAATTACAGGTATGTGCTTACAATCCTCTTTGCCAGAGAAATAAATGTTGTGGTCCTAACCATACCGTTTCCACTCTTAGTAGTCAGATACTATGAGGTGTTTTGATGCTTTTGTGATCATCAGGTGCCAGTTTTGTTATGCATGAAATGCACATTTTTAGTAGCACTAATTTTGATTTGATTGCCACTTTTCATAAGTTTGTAGGTACAGTATTATGAATTGCTGCTCCATTTTTTATTGATTAAGTGAAATAGACATGAAAACACACAAAGCCAGCACCCATGTCACCCTGCAACGTACAATAGGCAACCCACTGAAGCTCAGCAGATGTGAGCCTGGTCAGTACCTGGATGGGAGACCTCCTGGGAAAATCTAAGTTTGCTGCTGGAAGAGGTGTTAGTGGGGCCAGCAGGGGGCGCTCACCCTGCGGTTCATGTGGGTCCTAATACCCCAGTATCGTGACGGGGACACTATACTGTAAACAGGTGCCGTCTTTCGGATGAGACGTAAAACCGAGGTCCTGACTCTCTGTGGTCATTAAAAATCCCAGGGCGCTTCTCGAAAAGAGTAGGGGTGTAACCCTGGTGTCCTGGCCAAATTTCCCATTGGCCCTTATCAATCATGGCCTCCTAATAATCCCCCTCTTACTTTTAATTACTTTGTTCTCCTCCCCTCCCCTCCCACTCCGACGGCAGGCGGAGTGACGCGCCGGTTGGAGTATTTCTCAGTCACATTTAATGGCAACGTCAGCTCAAAGATTTGGTTCAAAGCACCAAATGGAGACAAGCGGACCCTGCTGATGTGGGATTAACGCTAGGATGAGAGAGAGAGAGACATGAAAACACACAATTATAACAAACATTACACACAGGCAAAGGAAATCATTCTGAGGTTCCCATGTCTCCACGCTTAATCCCTGTTCTACATCACAACGATGAAACAGTCCAGGGTTGGTCTTACAATTTGTGAAAATTTGCCCGGTTAATAGAATTTCCTTCGTGAGTAGAGGGACATGAGGACTAGAGACAACTAAAATTAAATTTTTGTACTGCAAATCTTGCTCTGAGATATCCAATCTTAAGTGAGATACTTAGATTGAGTTTGTGTGACTCAGGGGGACTTAAGGTCACATTTAACCGGTAGTGAATTCTGCTATCATTTATAATGCACTTTAAATGGATATATAAAACAATTTAAGTCAAAATAATGTCAAAATTGCTTATTTAGCTGGAGGGGGACATTTTCTTCTGAATTCCAAAATTGATTAGTTTTATTTTTCCCCGCAGCATGTCCATAAATTTACCTGCAATCAAAAACATTGTGAAGCAAAATTTCCATTTATTGAAGAAAAAGGCCAGCATTGCATATCGGTTAAAGGCACATTGGATTATTTAATTTTCAACTCAGCCCAGAAGATCTGCACAGAGGAACAGCCAGAGAAGCCAATTTTCGGTAATTCAGCGTTCATAAAGTCCAAAATCCAACATTTTAAAATAAAACATTTTATAATGTTTTAAACAGTCATTTTTTAGAGTGAAATGTTGGTAAGGTGCCATTGTTATTTTAATAATAGCACTATATTGTCAAGTAAAATCAAGCTGCAAATGAGTTTTTGTGACGTATTGGTTTTGGCTATTGAGGAACTATATGAGGTTTCAGGCACAGGGTCAGGAAATCTTAAATCACAGAACAAAGCTCGAATCCTATTGGGTGTTATCTTTAATGTGCATCTTTATCTCAGGCTGTTCTTATTAACCTGTAAGGAGGTCTTTGCTTCTTGCTTGTAGAAATCACTCGATGATCAGGTTCTTGAAGTGAGCACGAAAGCAGACCTTGATGTGTGCATACAGGAGCACAGTACAGAATACAGTTCTGAATCTAGCTCAAATTAAATACAGCAGTTTCCCTTTTTTTTTGATGGTGGAGACATCTTTTCTCCACCATCAGCAGACTGCTCGAGCCAAACTGCCCTACCACATTACCTGACTCATCACAACTTTGCAACACATTCTTCGATTTCTTTAGTTCTAAGATTGACAACATCCGGCATCACATTCTCTCCACTACGGATATCATTTCCATACCTCCTCCCTCCTCATCCAACTTCTCTGGTTCCTGTCTCTCCAGCTTCTCTCTTCTTGACTCAGCATCCCTAAACAAACTAGTTACGCGCATTAAACCCACCACATCTATTTTAGATCCCATTCCCACCACTTTATTCCAGTCCTGTTTCTCTCTGTCCCAATGTCCTCAATATTATACATGAATCCTTGAGCACTGGCATTGTACCAACGGTCCTGAAAACTGCTGCCATTACCCCCATGCCAAAGAAGCCTAACATGGCTCTCGACAATCTTAACAACTTTCGCCCCATCTCCAACTTACCCTTTCTCTCTAAAATTCTAGAAC